TGTATCAAGTTGTCAAAATCGCAATCGGGTCGTTCGCATCCAACCATAATGTCAGTGTCGCCTTGTATTCCCTTTTTATCGGTGATTGAAGCAAGATGGTCAATAATGACACCACAACGTGCCACGTTTCGATCACCTCGAAGCGCCACGTCACTTTTGGAACATTTATTGGTACTGCGTGCGCGGACTCCGTCGTACTTGTCGTCAACGCTCTCTGTTGGCAGAGAGCAATGCAGAGACTAGAAGTGAAATTGCACTTGATATCGAGGACAATGGCGACTATCGATGACTACCGGTATCGATGTTTGATTTCACGGGTATGGGTACATGCACGTCACACTCTCCCAAGGGACAAAACCATTGCATTCAGCTATGGCATTCGAAATGCTGGCGTCTCTTCCAAGGACAGAACCATCGTACCTGTTCGGAATTCTGTCGTCATGTCGTGTCGGACAGAGGGAGTCCATGTCCGCCTCCGTCCGCCAGCCACCAAATTTCAGATCTTATTCGGTCCCAGAACATCCTGCACCGATCTTGGCTGCGATGTCCCCCACGCAATTTTTGGGAGGATGATCGCGATCTGCACAATCAAATGCGAGGCACGGACGGCCGACCCATACCACCTCATACGACGAGAACGGCTCGGCTTGCGCCAACCAACACGAACGTCAGCATCTCGTCGTTTGAAATTCAAAGGACGAGATGCACCAACAACATTTCACCTTGAAGGTTGTTGGCGCGTCTAGCATTGCACTGGCGTCCATCACACTTTTCGCCACATGGTGAGCGATTCCAACCTTACGGTATCCAAGTGTATATTCCAAAATTTCCCAAAATCACCAAACACGAAGCCTTCATGCCGTCGTGAAAACCCGGTACACGTAGTCTCAACAACGGTAGACGCCAATGCACTATTGTCCGTGCTATCGTTGGTATCTATCCCTCCCCCACGAGTCTGTCCTCGTCAAATCATCGGTGGGTAATACTTCCAGAATCCGCGTCGTCGTGTTGGTGCGTCGAATATTGGGCTGGGGCGGAGGCCACGGGAGGCGCACTCTATATATATCTTCCATGGCCATTTATACCTTATTTTTTGTATGAGCCATTGAAGTTGAAGCACCTCTATACTATCGTCAAGATGCAACTGTAGCGCGCTCTCGCACATATTGGCATATCTTTGGCCTACAAACCGCTCGTACTTATCTCACTCCTCCCACACACGATCTGCCAGTGTGGCTCAGATTTGAATCTTCGCCGCCATGCGCCTGAGCCTCGCCACGACCATCGCCGCCGCCGGCCTTCTGCCCGCGCACGCCTGGAACATGGCACCCGTGCGCTCGATCCAGGCCCGCGCCCAGGGCGACACGCCGGTGTGGGATGCGACCAACAAGGCCTACGTCTCGGCGTACGGCAAGACGTTTGCGGACCAGTACACGGCTGTGCTCGACACGGTCAACACGGCGAGCGTTGAAGGCGTCCTCAAGTACGTCCAGTCCGAGTGCATCAACGCACCGGACCTCCAGCTCTGCCAGCGCAAGAACAAGGTCAAGAACATCGTCTTCTACGACATTACAATCGCGCAGCCGAACGCGTCGCTGGCCCAGTTTGCTACCAACACGGCCGTGTACCCCGAGTATGGCCCATTCCTCGCGATGGACGGCGGCGCGTGCACCGCCTCGGGCACGTCGCTGCCCACCGAGTGCTTGGAGTACAACGGCCTCAACGGCACGGTCAACCTCGGTCCGTTCGTCGGCGGTGTCCCGTCGACGGCCGACGCCCGCGCCTTGTACCCCAATACGATCTGGTTCTCGTACCCCAACAGCTGCGTGCAAACGCCGTGGAGTGGCAAGACGCCGGCGTGCCGCCAGCAGTTTACCGGTGGCCTCTGCCCGTTCGGTGTCAAGCCCGACGGCGTCAAGTGCACGTACTCGTACACGATCCTTGGTTGGGTCGCGCTCGATGACGTCGTGGGCATCACGAGCATGACCAACCCGACCACGAAGGCGCCGTTCGCCAACTACAGCGAGTTCTGCAACGCCAAGCTCACAGAATTTAGCGCGTCACTGCTGCCCAACAACTCGTGGGGCGAAGTCACGTCCAACTTGACGTTTTGGAAGAGCCCGAACGACCCGGCCGCCAACCAAGCCCGTGCTCAAGTCGTGGTCGAGACGTACAGCAAGAAGCTCTCGGGCAACATGGT